CATCATCGTCCCCAGCCATCCCAGCATTGACGTCACGTAACCTCTCCATCAAGACAGAAGAGCAGCCATTGTTCATTGTGGCTCCCAAAACAACAGGAACAGCTTGGCCATGCTCCAGCTCTTCATATTTCAAGACCTGATGCTGCCGCATCCCCCAGTTTGCGGGTGTCAGCCAGGCGACTGTCAGCCTGACTGATAGGGCAGTCCTGCCTCCTTTGCTAGTAACACCTCTGAGGTAACCCTTCTGTCAAAGCATAGAAGTACAACTGCTGTACCTCCTCAGCCGCTCTCATACACCCCCCCAGGTCTAGAGAGAGATCTCTCTCTCCAGATCATCACCAGCTTTAAGTACTTTTTTTTTTTTTTGGCCTTCATTCCTTTGAAGTCCCTACTTGTAACACAAACACATTGGGAATGGGCAATTGGGCACTTTCACCCCAGGACTGTTTCCCAAGGTGGAAGACGGAGAGCTCAAGACAGCTCTCTCTACAGTGGGGTGCACAGAGCCCAGATTGTGGTACTTAAGGTCACCCCACAGTTCCCTGTGGCTTCATGTTCTGGACCTTCCAACTACTTCAGTCATGGCATGGACCAAAGCATTTAGAGGATCCCCCTCCTTGCTGAAGAGCATGTCAGGAACTAGAGAAAACAGCAAGAATGAACCAACTGTTGCTTGTTCCGGGCTGTAAATGGCAACAAAACAAGGTGGACAAAAAGTTGCTGCTGCGTTTGCCATTATGGAATAGGCAAGTGAGAGAAGAAAAGGAACTGGGAAAAGGAACAGAGACCCTGTGCCTGGTTTTTTTGCAAGAAATACAAATTGTTATTTCAGAAAAACCTCTTTGTTGGTAAGGAATCACATTCAGGAACCTCTTGCCATGTAAACCTCTTGCTGCTTTTCTCCACAGCTATTGCTGCTGTTCCTGGTAGCTCTAGGGAGTCAGAGCTGCAAGTAAGGGCACAGCTATTGCTGCTGTTCCTGGTAGCTCTAAGGAGTCAGAGGTGCAAGTAAGGAAATAAATTCCCTTCTCCTACCAGTTGTGATCCAAGTGCAGGGAAACGTTCACAACAGAGCAGCTAAGGATTTGTGGTGGGTACATTCCCACCGATTCCAGGGAGGGGATGTAGGGATGTTAGGGCTAGCAATGCTGAGGACACACTTCCTTTGCTATTAACAAAGCATCTTCTTCCTGTGGGCAGGTCTTCTCTGATCAGCCTCTAACAACCTTCAAGGACTTCCTGGCCTCAAGTACCACTAAACTCAATACTAATAAGACAAGGGACTAGCTCAATCGATCACACTAATCAAAGCCCTGTTTTGCCCTCTGTAGCCTGTTCTCTAAGGCTAACAAATTTATGCAATTGTGTTTGTGTCTTCCTCCTCCTCCCTTATCTATCAACTTTGAAATTCAATTCCAATCCTACCTGACAAAAGCAAAAAGTTTTTTCAAATATATTACATTTCTAAAAATTTATTGAAAAAATAGATGACCAAGACACATTCATAAACGCCTGGAGGGCAGTGAGCTCATTGGCTACTAAACCCACCAGACTCTGTACAGGTTAAGAGAAGCTACAAACACCTTGGACACAGGAAGACTGTCAGATCGTGATTTCCCCACTCAGTAAAAAAAATCTAACCTAAAGATAGAGGTTAGATCTAACCTAAAGATAGAGGCTTCTCTAAACTATACCTTCATGGAACTGCTTAAAATAAATTAGATCTG